ACATACCTCCACAGTTTGGATCCTATGGGCTTTCCAATCAACAATTCCTCCAAATTTGGAAACAGCTTCTTTAACGGATTCAAAAGGAGCAGTTGTATCAATAAGACCTCTGCTCTTAGCACTCTTAGGAGAATCAATGGCTCCTGATTTTCTCGCTGAAAAGCTAGCGAACTTTACATTGGGTGATGACACTACATTGTTCACATAAGCCAGCTTCGCACTCTTAGGAGAATAACTGGCTTCAGATTTTGTAACAGTATTTCTGGTAACCTTTATATTGGGCAGAGAACGCGTAGTGGACGTCACAACATTGTTCCCTTCCTTAGGACCAGAATTTTCCACCACAGTATCCAGAGTATCTGTCTCTGTTTTATTGACTGTAGTTATTGAAGCTGATGATGAAGTATCTGGTGGAAGAAGATGATTTTGGTCTAGAGATGGGCTATTTGAATCATGGCCGACATTTCTGGGACCAGAATCTGCCACCGGTGTATCCTGAGTATCTTTCTCTGTTTTATTCACTGTAATCATTGAGGTTGAGGCTGGGGTATCTGTTGGAAGAAGTTGATTTTGTTCCAGAGAGGAGCCACTTGAAGCAGGTTCTGCAATTGGTAATTTACCATTTGCTATTGTTGATGAGCTAGAAGCTGGGTTATCTGCCAGAACTAGTTGATTTTGTTCCACAGATGCGCTATCAGAAGAACTTTGTGTAGTTTCTAATTTAGAGTTGTCGGTCGTTGACAAATGACTCTCACTTCCAACTCTGTCATGCTTTACTGGATTTGTAGGAGCATCCCCACCAGAGTGTTTATCATGGTGGGAGGATGAAGAAGATTCTGGAGAAGCCATTACTTCCGCAGTTTTCACAACCTCCATTCCAGGAAAGAAAGTGGAAAGGACTGCCAGGTACGAATCTACAATCCAAGTATATAAAATAAAATGGATCAGCAAAACAGAGAGACTAACAATAGATGAAAAATCATATGAAAATCAATCAATCAATCGTGAAATCTTCAGTTCCATTAATGCCTAAAAGCTAAGAAAATCATAGTCTCTAACATAAAGGAGCTTATATATAATATATTGCAATCTTTTAACATATTACAGTCACACATATAATCAATCTTTTTTTTTGTTGTAAAATATTCTAATGGTCAATATCATGTTCTATGAAACTAGGAGGGATGCAAATTTAATCAAATAGTATTGATATAATTTATACAATTTCAATCCAGAACCAACCAATTTGAATCTGCCACATCTACGCATAGCGCATTTGTGCTAAGAAATTACTATTCAGAATTTCCTGGTGTTGTTTTGACTTTCAATTATCGAATTCTTAGGAAAGAAATTAAATTTGAAAAAATAAATTCTACCAGTTGCCAGGTATATAAGGAACATAAACAATTGAAATGCAAGCTGAAATCTTCATATAGAAATAACAACAAAGAACATCACATACTCACTTAAATCATCTATTTCAACATAAATTCAAATTCTAATCCAAAACCCAGCTGAGAATTCAAAGATAAGTGTAACCAGAGCTGTTTGCACATAATAAAGCTTCAAGCTTGAAGAAAAAAAAATTAATTAAAACAAAAAATATATATATGAAAAAATAAAGAAACTCAGAACAAAAAAGGTAAAGAAGGAGCAGAGGAACGTACCGGAATGACCAGGAGCGATGGGAGGAAAGTGGGATTGGAGAGACGATATTAAAGATTGCTGGAAATAGCCAAAAAAATACAGAAACGATTAAAATTAGCAAAATTGTGTGTAGAAGCAGCGAAGAAATCGCAGCTAAAAATAGTGAAGAGAAAAATAGTAGCGGGGAGAGCAGAGATGAGTGGAGCCTACCTCGTCACACGGACTAGATCCATCTGTACGCTCTGTCTTCCAATCTCAGATTTTTCGAATTTAATTTTTTTTAATTTTGGGAATTTAATTTCTGTATTTTCGTGGCGAGCTCAGGCTGTGGTTTCCATGAACTTCATAATTAATTCTTCTTGTTTTTTCGGGTTTTGACCAAAATCGGAAAGCCAGGGAGGCTTTGAACGTTCATTGGATGGTTCGGCTCAGCTCACCTCAGCGCAGCTTAGCAACCCCTTCCCTTTGTATCCAGCTCACCACCCCTCAAATAAAAAGAAAAAGATAAAAAGGTATATTTTCCACTATTTATAGTATTAAATTATTAATATATGAGACCACTTCTTTTTTTAGTGTTATGTTACTGAAATTTATTAGCTAATTTCCTAAAAACAAAATTAAGACAGGTTTATTCTAATATTTCTTTGAGAAAAGCGTACGTGAGTTAAGTCAATGAGTGAAAATAATGTGTTCGTCCCTTTACATTCGAGTTTGATTTCCTTCTATTATAAATTTATATTAGGATAGCTTAGAATATTACCCTTATCAAAAGATTTTAATATATATATAATAAGTATTTATCATTGTGTTTGCTTTGTCTATGGTTGTGGGTCGCCACTAGAGACATGTATTAGTTAGAGAAATTATTCATATGATTAGGTTGAAATTCCCTTTTGATTTTCATTAACGCAAAAGAAAATTAAAGTCAATGCAAGAAAATTGCATATTATCTAAAATTTTGAATTTCCTTACATTGCATTGGGTGAAGACTTGGATTGGAGCACGCACACACGCGCTGTTTGCAGCAATTTAAGGATAAGATATAAAAATAAATAAAGACACCGCCTGCCTACCGTGGATTATGTCTTCACCTGCCTGGTAGAGTGTGGAGATACTCTTTTTCAAAATGACTATTTAGCCCATGCAACGTTTTCTTTTGGAGGTCAAATAGTGACACTAGTAGTTTTATCTATTTTTAATTGCTTTTTATAATTCAACAAATGTCAATGACAACAATTTCAAATATCATAACTATTGTAGCAAATTTCTCAAATATAATTATTATGTATAATCCCCGAATGTCGGTATCATCTTCATATTCTGCAGGTACTGTCGATATTGCCTCCTTATTTTGATAATAAATAGTCTTTATATTACATAAAGAAAATATCAAATTTCTGTCAAAATTGTCGACTTTCTCTGTGAATGATGAATAGCGTGAGTGTGTGTGTTAACTTTGTATTAGTAGAAATAATTTTGAAAAATAAAAGAAAGGTTTCGTGAAGATGGGCAAATGGGTAAATAGGCTAGAGGTGTTGTGTTAAATGGGCGGTTGCGGTTGCGGTTGCATCGCATGTGTGCAGCATGCAAAGTAAATGTGGACGCGGCCCAACGGTCCGAAATCCAAAACCCTCGTTTCGTTTGGGCAAAAAAACTGGGACCAATGAGTCCTTCGGCTTCCAGGATTTGAATCTCGCAAGTTTGGCGTCGTGTTGGGTAGGAATGACATTCCTAATCAAGTCCAACAAAAAAGGAAGAGAATCAACCAAACCACTAGTTTCTTTTTTGTTTTGTTTTCTTCCTCTACGTGTAGCCCAAATGCATGTGGTTGTCCATGGAGTTTCTTCTACGTTCGTTTCAGCCCATCAACTTGTGTGGTAAATTCAATTGCCCAATAAAAGTTCCGGCTAAGGTAACTCTATTCACACCCAAAATGTCATTCATTACACCAACTTCAATTCATAATACCATTTTTAATCCTCATTTGTCCAATTTCTTTCCTCTTCCTTCCCCAAAATGCTTCATGATTATGTTGAGCTGGTTTTAGTAAGAGTGATTTACACTAACACCTCCTATGATTTTTGGTATTTTTCAAAAAATTTCCTCAAGTTTTAAAAATTATACAAACATCCTTTTAGGTCTTAAATTGTTTTCACAAAATTCCTTTTCATTGATTTTTCGTCTAAAAAGTAATAATTTTATATACAAAATTTCTTCAAATGACAAAGTTAGCTTTTAAGATTAGATTGCACATACATTCGTTGAGATTAATTTTGTTATTTGCAAAAGTTTTTATGTATGAAATCATCAAATTTTTGGATGTAGAATCAATGAAAATGGATTTTGTGAAAACAAACTGAAATCTCAGGGGATATTCGTGTAATTTTTAAAATCTTATGGCGTTTTGTAAAAATACAAAAATCCTCAGGAAGTGTTTGTATAAATAACTATTTTAGTAATGGCAACCCATAACTTCCCAAATGGAAGAAAAAAAGTAGATGGCCGCTCAACTGATTCTATCCATTATTTTTGTAATGGGAGTATACTATATTATAATAACATTTCTACCTACTCCCAAAGATTCTTTTCCTTTGCTGATCATATCAGATTCGTATGGATTTTAATTATACACTTAATGCTATTTAATTAAACTAATAAACCACAATTTGGCTCTTCTAGTTGGTTTGTTTTTTTCTTCTTCGGACATTACACGTGTGTTTTCTAAGCATACATATACCATATATGATACTTTAGTTGGTGCACCTAAACAGTTTTGTTCAACCAAATCTTTCACCATCCGATCCTTTCCCTATCACCCCCTAATCCACCATCGATCCTTGCCTTCCATTACACCCTTAAGTTGCTCCTCTTAATCTTAATGATTTTTGGTGGCCAAGCCAACTAACAAACTATTGAATTTCGCGGCAGAGTTCGTTAGCACAGTTACAAAAGTCAATCGGCAATTTTTTAAAAACATTCAGATAAAAAATTGCACAAAATAACCCATAATGATTGGTAGCTTTCTTCCATAGTATAATGTAACCAACATGTTTGTTCAAGTGTGATACTGAGTACGTTCAAATTTTATATGAAAAATATGAGCTTTTTTTTTCATGAACAAATATGCGCTATTTCTATCGTGTTCATGTATTATTACGTGTTATGAATAAATATGCGCTCTTTCGATCGTGTACATGTATTATTAACACATAAGTTACAAGTTAAAAACAAAGACATTATCTCAAAACATATGAGAATGTGCATATACATGACATATATTTCTACAAAAACCAAAAAAAAAAAAAGGACAAAAAAAAAAAAAATGGGCCAAGAAAAAAAAAATACAGATTCTTCTATGCCACCAAATGCTTCCGTCTAGGATCAGTGACATTGATCTTCCAATGCTCATCAGGAAACCCAAATTTCCTCGCCTTTCTCCGTTCCCAGTCCAAATAAGTCCTTCTCACCTTGGTCAGCCCACAAAACCTCTGCAACCTCCCGTCCATGGCGTCGTGCACCCTCCACCACCGCTCGTGCGCAACGTCACTGGCGTAGACGCGCTGGTCCGCCACGTCCCAGTTACAGTCATAATCCCTGTAACAGAGCCACGGCTTCCACCCCAAGTAATGTATGGCGTAAAGCTTTGGTGGGTCCGCCCCGAACAGCTCGTTCTTCACGCTGGCCTCGATTGTCGTATTCGCCCAGAAATTCTTCAGGAAATTGACCCGCCGCGGCAGCCGGTGCCACCACACAAAGACCTCGTTGAGGTAGCCCTGGTCGCCACCGTTGTACGAAACGATGTCTTCGCGGTGGTCCATGAGGAACTTGAACGTGCAGTTGGAGGGCTCGATGACCATGATGCCGGAGTTGAAGAGGTACACGTCGTTGCCGGTGGCCGACATTTGGGGGAAGTGGAAGAGGAGGTCGAGGTTGCGGAGGACGATGATGTCGGCGTCGATGAAGATGACTTTGTTGTATTCGGTGAGCTGCCAGAGGCGGAACTTGCTGTAGTTGTATTCGTTGTAGGTGCCGTTTTCGGCTCTCGGGTTTCGGATCCTTTGGATGAACCGGAGCTTCCACCCGGCGGCGGAGAGAGCGGCGCGTTTGGAAGCGGGGATAGAGTCGTCCAGGAGGAGGATAAGGTCGCGTTGGGTTCCGGTTTGGAGGAGGCTCCTTGCCAGGGTTATGGCGCCGCAGACGTAGGAAGCGGAGGAGTGGAGAACTGTGACGTAGGCTTCTCGTTTGGGTTTGTTTGTTGTGCTTTGGATTTTAGTCAGATCATACACTTGATCAATTCCTATAACAAATTAAGCATTCCTCATCAATTCTGAGTTTTTTCCTATCACATTATTTGTGTTCAATGATCTAAATTCTTATTTGTTCAGGTTGATGAGAAAAATAAACACATTTACAGAGACAATAAAAGACTAATGAAAGAGAGCATACCTTGCTGTCCCCATATAGGCAAAGCCAAATTGCAAGAGCCAATAGGCAATGACATCTTTTGCTGCAACCTAGCCATATCTGGCTCAAACAACCACCAATTCCCTTCCTGTCTCACCAAGTCATTGCACCCAAATATTTCCAACATTGGTCTACACTTGCTCCATAGCACCACTTTAGCTGCCTTCCTATTCCAATCCCTCTTTCCTTTCTTCACAGCCAGATTTGCCGCTATGAGATGAACTTGGAGCCTAAACACCTCCCTCCTCCACCCTTCTTCCGGATACTTGCATGGCAATTTTGCCACCACCATGTCCATCTTTTCGTAGATTCGAAAATCGGGCATTGGTATCTCCGGGCAAGTTGGGACATCACTCTCTTCCTCTTCATCGATCCACTCGGGAAATAAATCATCCCATTTGAATAAATCCGATACCCGGTCGAAAAGGATGGGTATGGTCTGCCCTAGCCTATTCCACTGACTCACATCATCTTCTTCCATATTAACCATACCAATTTTCATCATCCCCTTCCCCATAACCCCATTCAAAAAGCTTGGTACCTCTATCTTGCTCATATTTCCCTTAGGCCTCGGTATGTTGACTTTGGTCTCCTCCAATACTTGCTTCATGATCTTAACTCCATTATCCATCTATCCATACACAACAGCGAAAACCAATTAAGGAACATTGTTAATTAATCACTTATCAAAATGATTAATGATCAAATTAAGAAAGGGCCCGCCTCACCTTACCTTGTGATGGCACTCTCGCAACGAGCACCTAATGAGAGAAGCTGCGTTCTCATAATAGATGGAGGAAGACGGCTGGAGAAGAACGGCAGCATAGACAACGAAAAAGAAAGCAAGGAAAACCAAGTTGATTCGGATGACCAAAGCAGCTTTAGAAGGAGTGGCCTTCATAATCTTTTGAAGGCCAACATGTCCTTCAATCATCTTCAAAAGCTATCTGGCCAGGTGGGTTGCCTCAATAGGGGATCCTATATATATATATACCTAACTATGCTCTCTGTGATTAGGTTTAATTAACGCAAGTTAATCACGAGGATTAGAATATATAATATGTTTGTGAAGGAATTAGCTGCAGTGGTTAGAGAACTCAGACAATGAAATTAGAGTAAATCTCAAAGAAAGCAAAACCATTTAATACGCTCCAAGTGTCGGTTTCCTTCTTTTGGACTTCCTTCCTCTAGCAGACAACAACAAAGGTCGGAGAATAGAAAGCTTTGCTTCTTCCGCGTAATTATTCACCTGACAGTAGTACTATTATGTCCTTTACATATGTGGACAATTTCTTTGTTTTTTTATATATTATATTATTTATTTTTAGTTCCTTACCTGAGTTTGCCTCCACTCTCTACTCTTGTCCATTTACAACTTATCTTTACATTTTATAACTTCATCAACATGTTTGAATTTCCGATGATAGTTCAAGTTCTAATAACATAACATAACAGATATCTAAGAAGAGATTGTGTTTATCAGTTCATTATGTCAAGAAGCATTTTTTAGCGCATGCATAACAAATCCCAACAAATGAAAATGAAAAACACGGTCTCTTCTTAGGCGGTAGATCTCTAAGGAGAGACTCTGTTTATTATCTTATATCATATCTATTTTTATTATGAAATTTGTCTTGTCTTCCCGTTAAATAAAAGCAAAGGGATATTAGTAAGTAAGGCAGGGTGAGAAATAGTAACATGGGTACTTTAAAGTGAACATAAAGGTACCCCAAAGCTAGAAATCTTCAAAGAGGGACAGCCGTCCCTCTAACTCCAACAACTAATGGTTGGGCGGTCATCTTCCTGCATGTAATGCAATGTCGCTTTTACCCCTAACGAAATAGTGAGGCCTCACCAATATTCCCATTTCTCTAATAATTTTCTCCCCCGATATAATTGTTATTCATTTTATGCTTGTTTTAGGTTAGACATCATCATATCAGAACATCACGGTTAATAAAATAATTACAGGACATGTTTTGCACGATCTATCTATCGTGTGGTAAACAATCACCATTTTTATTTAATGTTGACATACTTGATTTAGGACCAACTGATGATGGGGGACCTCAAGTGTTGTTAGCCTATGAATTTTAATCAATGTAATACTTCTAACTCCTTTTAATTTCTTGTACTAATTTTTTTTTTTGGGGGTACGTAAGAGGTTTGCAACAACATTTATTTGTACACGTAGTATCGCTTGTATTAAAGAAAAAAAATACATAATTCATGGTTTGAAAATTTAATTAAAGACAATTTAATCTTAATAAAATGGCAAATTAATGCAAACGGAGTCTATCCTAATAGAAAATGACATTAACTTGTAGACTTGTGATCCCATATTCAAACCTCCATAGCACCTTAATTGTGTGTGTGTAAGAAATCTCTCATACCCTTTTGAGCTTGTATTCAGAAGGACAAATTAAACATTCATTTCCTTCCCAACCCTCTACTCTAGAAACTTCACCCAATTTCCACTCCCTTCATTTTCCCAGTACCTAAAATGACGAAAGCAGCAAAAATTCAACGCATCACCAAATACATAGAATCATACAAAACCGGAAGCGAAATTTCCTTGTGGCAAACTAATTTCCCATAGCAGGTTAAGCAATCTTTGCATAAGTTGGTTTGGGGGTTGACATTTCTTTGCGGCAAACTTTTTTTTTCTTCATGTTCATGGATAATCAAGCTTAACATTATTACTTCTTAATATAAAAAACAAAAACAAAAACATGCATGGATAAATTTTTTGGACATTTGGTTATCAAGTTTGGGCCCATTTCCACAACAATCCTTAAAGTAGCACCCAAACACCGTCGTTTTACACAGGGGTCGAAAAGCAACTTGATGTTTTAAGTAGTTGAAGACTCTTAACCTCTATGAAATTAGAAACTTTAATACACTCCCTAGAGAACAATGATATCAAATTTATAAAGCTGTACAAGTACAGTTTGGCAATTCGCCAACCTCCACCTCCGTCCACTGTTGGCAATTCGCCGAACTCCAACGAAACATATTCAGGTTGTTCCATTTTTCTATTGTCTCTTCCAACCTCAGCTTCCCTTTGCATATCATTGACCAACTACAAGCCTCTAGCTCTGACCTGCTTTATTATGAACCTCTGGAGACATGCTATTGAGCTCACTGCCCAGTCAAATCCTTGTATGGTTAGTTGAAGATGGACTTTTTAGGCTTCAGGCTTTAACTACATCCTGAATGTGTTGGGAGTAGCTTTTTCCAGGTGGAATGAAAATCAGATCTTCCCAGCCTGAATTCTTTTCACTTAACTGCATCACATTAAAAAATAGAAAAAAAAAAATCAGCAAAGATACTAGAAAGTAGGAATGCAAGAACATGTAATTCTTGCCGTAACGAGACTGTTTACCTCCATTTTTCTCAAAACATCTTCCAAACTACCAACCTGTAGACACATTTTAATGAGATGATGAGAACGCAATAATGTAATGAGAAGACTTATCAAATATCTAAAGAAGTTTCTTTATTTTATATAATACCATAATATGTTGAGAAACCCCTGGTCCTCTGGACGCTCTAGAGACCTTTGACAATTCTTTTTCAATATCTTCCTGCATAGTGGAAACAAAATTTAGCTTTGGCTAAATCAATCTCCTAAATGCTATTTACTTAACAAAGTAACACATCAACAAGAGCTCAAGGCCTGAAATTCAAACCCACCTTGGTGAAATATATTGGGCAGTAACGCTTGTTTTTCTTCTTCATAACCAGGAGGTCCGACTGTAAACACAAATTACTCATAAGATGCATTGCCATATTCACACACAAGCAAGCACCATGACAATCAATTCTACTGCATGAGGATCACCCAAATAATGCCCAAAAATTGCACTAGATTTGAAGACAACAATGTATGCCTGGGCACTCACATTAAACTTATATTTTTTCAACATACAATGCAAATGCACTACTCATTTGTGTTCTACAGTCATCAATATTATGCGTTACAAAGTTGGAGGTGTTCATTTCCTGGATCATCCTACCCAATAGTTGCATGTTTTGAAGTACTCCTGCAATCAAATAAGGCCATTGTAATCAACAAGTAGACTAGACTAGCCTACCTGAAAAACAGGAACTCCATCAAAAGCATTCCTGTCAGCGGATTTGAGCTACAAAACAGAAAATAGCTTGTTTCAGAAATGAAATAATTAAGTCAGGAAATAAATATCCAGTTTGAATTGTTTTAGCAGATACAGTCAATTTTTACAGGACAAGCAGTCGATTTTCTGTCACAACACAGTTTAACATCTTGCATCTGACATATCCATTTTATCAAAGCTCCTCATTACCACTACGCACTTGAACATCAACACTAAAAAATGTTTATATGCAGGCCTCTATGACATCAATTCCTAAATTTTCTTCTAAATACCATTTCTAACGCAAAAGGATTTCCTGTATAGTGTATAGCACACACGGCTATTTGGGATGATAAGACCATAAGAATTAAATAAAAAGGTCAATAGTTTCACATAAGAAGCAAATACAAAATGAAAAATATGCCAACAGACAGTCAACCAAAATATTGTAAATGCTATACTAAGTGAACAGATGGGGCACTGACATGGCTCAGCATGAGACACAGCCAAAGGACATTCTTGAAGTAGATACATTAGAGAAACGAACCTCGAGTGCATTCCTTATTTGAACTGGATCAGGCAAAAACCGGAACGCAATTCCTTCAACCTTCAGCATGTATACCTACAAGATGAAGAGTGAGCAAGTTCACAGGCAAAGTCATAATATGAAAACTAAGTTCCCATCTGATAATAGTTCCAATATCAACTCAGTACCCAATTAACCAGCATTATCAATTTAGAACTACCACTACAAAGATTTCAGGCAGCTGAGCTCCGAAAAGTCACCTGGTCGAGAGTAATTGGGACAACCTTAGCCGCACTTCGTAATTCTCTCCTCGACCGAACCTGAAAATCCAAACCACAAAATAACACAAGCATACTTCGAATCAATAACTTCTCAACAGTCCCAATTTACTCAACACTTTTTTTTTTCTTTGGTTGAAAAACTAAAAAAGCATCTCAATTACACTAAAATTAACCTAAATGCAACTAACTGCTCCATCTTATTAAGCTCTAAACGCAACTAATTGTTCCACATTAATAAGCTCTCCCTCCGAAAAAAAAGAAGAAAAAAAAAGAGAAAAAAACTAACTTGAGCTAGGAAGGCTTCGGCATCTTCGTGGCGAAAGCAGAGGAGGCCAATGGACTTGGCTTCATTGGGATCAGAGATAAGCACGAACTCATTGTTCGAATTGCTAACCGTATACACCGCCGTGCCGGCTAGGCTTTTCGCCACGTGGTCCGAGCTGATGGTCGCGGCCAAGTCGTGATTGCTCTGAGACAGCCACGCGAAGGGCGGAGCAGCGGGAGCCGAGCGCATACGCCTGCTCGCCGCGGGCACCAAGTTTCCGGCGAGGGTTCCGGCGAACCGCTTGGTGTCTTCGAGACGGCTGGAGAGCTCGGCGCCGAGCTGGAGGCAGTTCTGGTGTATGAAAGTGGAGAGTGAGAGCAGAGGGTTTGAGCGCCCGTAGGGCTTTGGGGACTCCATTGTCTTGTCTCAGTATACCATGTGAGAGAGAAGCAGAGCAAAATGGCGTTTTGATAAGGCTGATTTTGACGAAACACGTTTATAGAAGTAGCGGTTTCAGGAGAGGGCTTCCTTGGTTGCGTTGCGCTGCGTCTTGTGAGAACCGCTATCAAGCCAAACGAGTTTGTAGTTTTTTTTTTTAAAAACCCTATCCGAAAAATAATGTTTTCTTGGGCTAAATATTCCAACCCATGGGCCATGGCCCAATCTACCATCAACCCATACAGTTCAGAAGCTTAGTTAATCCAACGTCTGCAGCCCAACAGCCACAATTCTGGCTCCGTATATTTT